TGAGACGTAAACGAAGACAGTAGAATAAACTTTTTCTGGTTCCGCAAAAGCGTCTGCGATCGAAGACAGTAAGGCCTGACACACAAACACCGCGCTACACTAAATACTATATAAAAGCACTTGAGTTTTTGATAGTTGATTTCGACAGCCAAGAGAGTGGAACAAAGTGAGCAAGTTGAGTCATCCTCCAAAACCTCCTAAAAGACTTTAAAATCGAAAACGAGTTTTTAGAATTGACAGACCTGCAATGTGCAAAACAATCCATTAGCACACTTCAGCTACCGAGTCACAGTTAAAAAATGATTTAGCCAAGAAAATAAAGTGTGCTCTTAAGCTTACGACGTTCATTGGGTGTTTACTGTAAAGTAGCTATCAATCAAAGATAAATTTATTTTCTTAATGCAACTCTAGAAAACAAGTGAAAAACAACAACGAAACAGTGAGGTTAGAACTGTAAATATATTTCAACAAAAAAAACTACAGAATGCGTCTTTACTATAGAGGCAGTAAAGCAATTCAAGTCAATGATACTTTGATTCCCGAGAGAACGTAACCTCCGGCGACGATCTGCGACATTGTTGGACGTGTGCGGTCAGGAAGAACTTGATAAGAACGGAAAAATGCGTCGCAGAGTTGTACATGGACTGCACCTTTAGACTTCACCCACCTGTACACATCGAACAAAGGCTACAAAAAATAAAATGAAACTGCATAAAGACCAGCGCTTTACGTCTCAAAAACATAAAAATCCGAGTTTTTAAAAAACAGAAGGTTCTAAAACTTAAAGCACAAGTACCTCCTGAATAGTAGAATAAACCACAATCCGTCCTGACAAACAAAGTGAGTCCCAAGTCCGCTCAAGAACGTCAATTGGATCAACACTATGTACAACAACTAGTATAGACTGCACTTCATTATTTTTGAAAATCTGATACGCTTCCTTCTCCCGATTCAACCTCTCTAAACGCCGTGTTCGAACAAGTTCTTGGTTCTAAAGACGAGAGAAGAAAAAATGGCTAATTAATGAGAAATAAAATGTAAATCCCAAGCAATCTAAGCAGTAACATGTAATGATAGAACTTACAAATTTGTCCAGTACCTCCTCCTCTTTAGACTGGTTCTCACTAGTTTCACAAACATGTCCCTTTAACAAAGTTGAGATACGAAGCGGGTAAAATGCCAGGTAAACCTGAAACGCCATAAAACAGCAAGAATTCACCAAACATGAAATAGATCTAACTGAAGGACTGAGTGGGTCAAGCGCAACCTCTTTAGTAAAATCCATACTTTGAACGCAAGGTACAGACTGGGCGATTTCACCACGATGTAAATGAATACATGCTCCCTTGCCACCTAATCGATCTAAGACTGCCGCAGTAAGCAAACCTAAGCATTGCTCAAAAACAAGACATTTTGATCCACTGACTATTCCGCTCATCGTTAGCATATACGACAATAAATCGATTCTAAAATTACAGAACCAAACGAGTTACTTTCTGGTAAAGAATTAATGTCAAATTCATGAAACTCTTTGACTGTCTAACCTCAAATTAGCTATTCGTTCAGCATCCTTCTTGTAATATGATTCCGCAATTAAACGTACAGTTGGCTTGAGAATAAGAACGCGATTAGAGTGTTTATTTGTTTTTCTACGAATATACTTATTTTGGGAATAAATCGTTCTGTCAGCAAATGAGACACTACCATCTATCAACTTCGCAACCTGCAATTGTTTTTGTAGAACCTATCCCACTTATGTAAACGAAAGATCAGCAAAGAAGTTTTAAGTAGTTTTGATATTGATAATATCATTAAAATCAGAGGACTAGGAGATTTAATCTCTACATCTTCACCTACGCATCGAGCTTTATACTAATTCTGATCTTTTTTGTGAATTTTTTACTTTTCTTCAAATCCATAAAAAGGTAAAGTTCTCAAACTTCAAATGCTAAAGTAACTGCACAAGATGATAATTCAAATTATGAAATAAAATCAAGACTTTATTACAGATAATAAGTAGAAAACACTAATAAACAACCAAACAATACGGTCACCTTCATACTTAGAGCAATATTCTGGTTAAAATGACGAGGTTTTAAAAGGCAGGTCTTTGATAACAGTTCATAAGCGAAAAATTTTTTAAGAAAAACAACAGAGCTCTAAAAAAACTTGATTCCCTTAAAAACGAAAGAACCATTGACAAACGTAACTGCAATTAGAGCACTCATTTGAAGACACCTCGACAGTAGAAGTAAAAAAACTAGACATGTGGGCTTCATTAAATAAAAACTAGTAATTCATTGCAATTCCAAAACATTAATAATTTTCCTTTCAGTTAGGTTGTTACTGCCGAAATAAAATACCTAGCCGAAGTCAGGCGGTAGCAACAAGCTAAACAAATGCAAAACTCTTCTTCCATCAAAATTTTTACCCTTTTTTCTGCACAAGACTAGGAAAAATTACAAAAAATTACAATAACATCTGCGAACCACAGCCTGCTTCAAACAGCCAAAGCTGTTTTACGTATAAGATTCACCCTTTCTGCAAAAGAGAATCATCCTGCACGCTAAGGTAGAAGTTGTTCTAACAAATCTCCACCTGACGTTGAGACCCTTATTTTACCTCCCATATCTGCTAAAGTTACCTCGTGTCCCCTCTTCTGACTGCTTATTTTTTGTTCAACATACAGTACTTTTTGCCTCAGCACAAATTTTTGAAATTCGACATTACTTAAAACTGACCTCGGACCGCACTCATTATGCTCTAAAGCAGCAAATTTTCACACCGGATAAATATACACAAATGAATTAAAATAGTACGAATAGCAGTTACCTACTCGGCTAGATATAATGATCTGAACTGTGGCATTTTGAAAAACCATCCTGAATTGACCTGAATTTCCGTGTTGCTCATATTTAAATTTGAACTAACACACAGTCATATATTTTCCATCTATTTAAACTCATTGTCATATTTAAAATTATAATTGCATCTAAAAAAATAAAAAAAGGAGAGGCTAACCAGTTCGCCAGCAGTTACGCCAGTATCCTTCATCCTCGAAATTTCTTCCCTTGTAACTTTTTGTCTGGTTTGAGCAGCATTTATTGGCTCATCACCCTCTTCTAAAAGTTCTGCTCCATTGGAATGGGTGTCAGATGAATGACCAATGTAAGACGCAGTATCTTGCAATTCTGGAATTGAACAAACATCCATCCGGGTATGGTAAACATATACCATTAACTACACCCTTCTGTTAATGTAATGTAATGATGACTTTTACAAGATTAAGTTAGCAACATGGCTAAACAACGAATGAAAATTAGCAGAGCAGAATTAACCTATATCAGCGACGTCCGAGTTCAAAACCAACGCTTCTGGAGAGGCACGAGTTAACTTACCCGCAGAAACCTAAGATTTCAGAGATGAAAATGAAAAGAATTTCAACTATTTTTTTGAGCTTCGACGAAGATCAACACCACTCTCAAACCTCCAATGTACCACACATCTATGTCCTTCAAGTTTCCAAATCACCTCAAAAAGACCGAACGGTTGATCGAATGCACCATCGATTTGAAACCGGAGCTTTTCAATCAGGATGTTTTGCTTTTTGTTAAGCTTGCATATGCGGATGTGCTCTCCTCCTACCTTTTGTATTACTGCATGGCAACCGACCGTAATCATCCCTTACGCCTAAAACCATTCTTCAAAAAAAAAAAAACACTACTTCTGCCACACATGAAACAACAAGAGCCGCCTTAACCACCGAGAAAAAACCAACTGCACCAAGATGCTGCCAGCAGTTGAAACACATAACACAACCCATCAAGGCTCCCACTTCCCCAATTTGGGTAATATAATCAGCATTAACCTCAAGTGGTTCCAAGCATCACAACGCTCAAATCCATTACTTTCACGAACAGATTTACAAATTAACGATGACCTCCTGCTTCCTCTCAAAACTGTAGCTGCCCACAATTTTCACATCAGTTTCCCCCCACAGTTTTACGACAGGCTTTACCTCAAATCAGCCACCATAAACTAAGAAAAACTATAATGCGCATAATGAACTTCCAAGCCTGTGGAACCGTAAAGGGAAACGATAATGAGAAGCAAGTTTTACCGCAGGGATAAAATGGGAAATTTCAGAAACTTTTATACCTTTATTAGCATCAGAAACCACTTTGATGAGAAACTCACTGTGCATTTAATAAAACTAAAAATACACGAAGTTCGAAGAAAACAGGAAAGAAAAACAATTGAGACCACTGACATGAGTGTTGAGAGTATTGCAACTGCCGAATTTAGAAATAACGCTTTTTAGAAAAGATTTCCAAATACGAAGCGTGGTTCACCGAATTAGTCGAAAAGATCAAAGCTGAAGCTAAGATTTCAACCGAATCCGGTCTGAGATCAATTTTGGACCTGTTCAGTAAAGCTTCTTAAGATAAACAAGAGTTATATTATAAACCGTTCTTACAACAAACGACTTCTACTATTAAAGAATTGTGAAATTTTCCTTTTGATTCGTTGATTTAATCTTGGTTGAAACATAACTCCAACCGAACACGGCCGAGATCAGCACTGACTTTTACTATTCCAAAAGAAGAAAGATCTTGTCGACTTTTGCAAAAACGCTCAAAATAAAGATTTTGAAAGAGGAAAAAAATAAAAGTGGATTGAGCAATCTCGGCGACAATTTGAAACAACAACAATAAAGGTAAAATTCACAATGATCTAGAAAGATAAAGAAAAGAAAACGTCTGGAAATAAAGTACATACACGTATTGAACTGATAATAAATTACTAAATTTTCAAAACAGAAAAGACGACGGGCTAAAAACATGCCGCGGAATCACCGGTGTAGACAAACTCCAATCATTTAACCCGAAACATCGATCTAACCAACCAACGGCCCTTCACTAACGCTAAACAAACATTAATTAGTATACCGAATGATAATTTCAAAATTACAAGTTTCTAACTAAAACACATTCTCACCTAATTTCACTGGTATGCTCCGCAAGACTGGACGGTACGTAATATGCAACAGGAGGAGTTGAAGCAGATATACCAGAAGTATCGCTCCTGCTATGCGCTATTAGAGTTTCGGAGTAACCATCACTATCTTGAGGTACTGCAATCATTGGAGATGCCGCTGACAACCTCATTGAGGCAGTAGAACAGGGAACCGCTGCAACAGCAGTCCGGGGCGGAGAACAAACTTCGTGTTGTGGCAATTGCGAATACTCAAAACTTCTTTTCCTTAACCCCACTTCATTCCCTGACCAATGTTTTAAAACACCACATTCTGTAACAGAACTGACACTTAAAAAACTGCCACTGTTTTGTGCAAAAGCGAAATAACGCCAAATAATGGCAACATGTAAAAAAAATTAAAACTTTCGACTTAACAACGAGCACCGCACTTAACTACAAATTTTTCATATTTGATCAGATGACTGAATGAGAAACACAACATGTCGTTATGATACTGTTTGCGAGTATTAAGAAAATGCTATTCTACGTTATTCTGCAAACGAAAAGACGAACTCTGTGAGTCGTTAGACATAACAGTAACTCCATTTGGTCTTCCACTAACGACTGCCACAGGATGAGAGCTGCTGCCATCAACAGTTGAGAACGTACTCCTCTCCGGACAACAAATAAGTGATGTTGAATTTGGTGGTGACATACTGTCGCTGTCAGGTGACGAACTCACTCCCCCCAAACCATCTGTTTGTGCATAATAAGCTGGAAGACAAATAACACTTCTAGCAATTTAATAAAACGCTAACTGAAAATCATCAATAAGTCGGAACAACCTAATTTGGAACTGCTAACAGGAATGCCATAATAAGCTAATCAAAAAACGTCATCCTTACCACTGGAAGTAACACGTTTTTATTTAACATCACTTAGTTGAAAGACTTAACCAGTTCAGCAAACAACGAAGAATCAATACTTTTAAAGACGCACTATTGACAGACGATGATTTTGGTGGAGGTAAGTTCAGGGTGTCAGTAGCATCAGCCCCAACATGAGGAGTTTGATAACTGCACGATGAGAAATTGTTTACTGCTGGATTATGCACTCCTTTCCCCATGGTTCCCTTCAGTACATCAATTACGGGAGTATGCGGCTCAATACCCACCGTGTGGACTGCCGCCGAAGATAAATTAGGCAGCACAGGCGCCTAAATAAATAATATCAACCGATGAATCTATTCAAAAAATGAATTCCTGAAATTCATTACCTTGAGTGAGATCAACACAAAAATAACGAGGACATTTCGCAATTATTTCGTTACCGGAAAGCACCTTCCTTCCCCGTACTCATTAACTCAACCGGTAAATTCAAAAGCAAAAAT